GGTTTATTGGCCCTGAGCTTCCATCCAGGAAATGTGTTACTTGTTGCAGGATCCCCCTCACCTGGCTGAGTGTGCTGGAGGGGAGAACTTCTGTCTTCTTGTTCAACCTGGAGTTAAAATAGGTACATCTACACTGCGTGAAAATGGCTTCTCACACAGGATCAGATCCTCCCTCAACTCTGCCAACTTTTGGATAAAACATTGAGCAACAGCAGAAATGACCCTCTTGTTGTGTTTTGACATGTTCTACATTTTTACTTATTTTTTCTCAACTTGATCGTCTTATGCTAGAAGTGATATGTTAAAATCTCTTATTAATATTGTTTCTCTGTCTCCTATCTCCAGTAGGGTGTGCTTTAGGGTGAGAACTGTTTCATTATTTCGTACATAGCTACTTTGTTACTTGCTATGTAACAGATATTCTTCATGTGCATTATTGCATTTAACTTTAAAGGGTGTTTTTCTTTACCATGTGTATTACTTTTAGGCTTGAGTTCTACTCCGTCTGATATCAGAAAAATACCATTGCTTCTTATTGCTTTTAAATCATTTAATTTTAGGTTTGTTTGTTTGCATGGAGGCTATATGAGGTCTTGCTTTGTGAGCTAACTTGAAAATCTCTTTCATGAGCCATGACATGAGAAAAGGCTTTGAGGTGAGGCTTCAAAAGATTCATGGAAAAGGCCCATTATCTTTTCATTCCATTTTCTATGATCTGTATTTATTTATAGTTTAAGCAGTTTTATTGGCATATAATCCACATGTCATACAACTCAATAATTTGATCACATCAAGAAGAGTAGTACAGTCATCAGCACCATCCATTTTAGAACATTTTCTCTCTCTTTTATCCTCGTTATTAGCTCCCCGTCTTTCCCCAACCTCCCCTGCCTGACTCCTAAATAGCCATGAACTCACTTACTGTCTCTATAGATTTACTTATCCAGATTTCACAAGACAAGCTCATATTAAAGATTATGGCTCAACCCCCACGTAGCAATTCCAGCAGAATTCAGCCCCCACATCCCCACCAACTCCATCTTCCAATCCTGAGGAAGAACTTCTTCGTATTGGTTGGATCACATGCCTTTGGGGGGAGGGAGCAGGGGCGGGGCTCATCACAGAGTGATAGGTTTATGATAAGGGAAATGAAGTTCTCTAATTGTTC